AAGGTTACAACTTTACAGACAGCAGTTGGGAAGACATTCACTTTGTTCGCAAGGTAGGTCTGAAGGTTACAACTTTACAGACAGCAGTTGGGAAGACATCCACTTTGTTCGCAAGGTAGGTCTGAAGGTTACAACTTTACAGACAGCAGTTGGGAAGACATCCACTTTGTTCGCAAGGTAGGTCTGAAGGTTACAACTTTACAGACAGCAGTTGGGAAGACATCCACTTTGTTCGCAAGGTAGGTCTGAAGGTTACAACTTTACAGACAGCAGTTGGGAAGACATCCACATTGTTCGCAAGGTAGGTCTGAATGTTACAACTGGAAGGGACAGCAGTTGGGAAGAATCAAATTGTTCGCAAGGTCTGTCTGAAGGTTACAACTTTACGCTAGGAGCATCTGGTCTGGGAGAGACATGGCAATACTTAACTTAGCTTGCAGTCACGTGGTCTGATGATGTTTGGTCACCGATATAAGGCCTTTGTGATGGATATACAGCGACACCCCCTGCCTCACCTCGGAAGCCAGCAGGCTGTTTCCTGATTTTATAGAACCTAATACAAGACTCCTGGAAGACACACTTTGTTCTTGTGTAGGTCTGAAGGTTATTGCCAACTTTGGCAGAAAGCAGCTGTGGGGGAACATACAGATGCAATGTCAGAAAAACTGGTAGGTTTTTAGGTTACACCCTTTACTAGGACTAATCATCAGGGAAAGACATACCTGATATTTGCTTTTCCTGTATGTGTGTGTGTGTGTGTCCCTAAAAGCATCATGTGTTGGGTACCGCTGGCCCCGAGGGTAGCCCAATATGCTGGAGAAGCATGATGTTCATTACAACTTTACATCAGGCTCTGGGAAGGCTTCTCTTTGAACGCCCAAAGTATGCTGCCAGTAAAAGACTTGAATGACAGCAGTTAAACGGAGGTGAGATCTGTTAGTCGCGTAGATCTGAAGGTTAAACATTACTTGGATTATCAGCTCTGAAGTTAATGAAAATGTCCTCGAATCGCAGAAATTGTCGATGTTTTGCCACTGCCTTTTCCTAAAAGCGACGAGTCTGTGTATTTCTGCAATGAACATGTGGACCTTCTATGGTGAGCTAACTGTGGATCGTGGGAAGTCAATGCACAAATAAGGCTGCAAACTCAGGGGCGCCAGAACCTCAGGGCTTAGGTTTGAGCCCTCAGTAACTAGATGGTGGCGTCAAGTCTTGGCTGCAAAGACCCAGTAGCCATGTGTCCATATCAGACACCAGTAAGCTGGGAGTGAGGGACACAATGAGACCCATGTCCGTATCAGACATCAATGGTCGGAGGGAGGGACACAATGAGACCCATGTCCGTATCAGACATCAGTGGTCGGAGGGAGGGACACAATGAGACCCATGTCCGTATCAGACATCAATGGTCGGAGGGAGAGACACAATGAGAACCATGTCCGTATCAGACATCAATGGTCGGAGGGAGAGACACAATGAGACCCGTGTCCGTATCAGACATCAACAGTTTGGTGGGGAACTTATAATATTGCTTAAAGACCTCTCACCCCCTTTCTTACTTTTCAATCAGAGATAAATACACACAGTAATTGCAGTTTGTTTCTAAGATGTCACGAACTCATTAAATGTGTTGTAGGTTTTAAAGGGCACAATAAATTACACATAGTTGGTGTCATAACTTTGATCAATGATATTTTGCAGGTGTCATAAACACAGTACCTGACATACTGCAAATGTCAAAAACATTTAAAAAAATGATATATTGCAGATGTCACAAACACAACAAATAGCCTGTTGTAAATGTCCTAAATACAATAAATGACACGATAGACGTTGCAGGTGTTATAACCAAAAAACTCACGTGATATAAGTGTAAAAAACGATAATAAATGATATATACTGCAGGTGCAATAAACTTAAAAAAAAAGACATATTTCAGGTATCAGGAACAGACATCAACTGGTCATTGGGTTTCGTCCTTGAAGAAAGCAGTGGCTACTCCTCAGCTCCTGTAATGGCTTCTCTGACCTTCGCCTTGTTAGTAGCACTCTTCAGTGGACTGGTGATACTGGCCTTAGTGGTTCTCATTGATGCTAAGAGAGTCCACCGATCCGTCATTGTCAGACGCAGAACACAGAGTCAGTACGGCGCCATCTAATCTTCATGAACAGCCACCCCGCTGTCTAACATTGAGTGTCTTCTTATCTACATAAGCCGTTGTCTCGCTGCCACACACTGAGAGTCATCTAAGCTAAATGAACTGTTTTTTTTGCTGCCACACACTGAGAGTCATCTAAGCTACATGAACTGTTGTCTTGCTGCCACACACTGAGTGTCATCTAAGCTACATGAACTGTTGTCTCGCTGCCACACACTGAGAGTCATCTAAGCTACATGAACTGTTGTCTTGCTGCCACACACTGGGAGAGTCTTTCTTCGCTACATGAACTGTTGTCTCGCTGCCACAACACTGAGTGTCATCTAAGCTACATGAACTGTTTGTCTCGCTGCCACACACTGAGTGTCATCTAAGCTACATGAACTGTTGTCTCGCTGCCACACACTGAGTCATCTAAGCTACATGAACTGTTGTCTCGCTGCCACACACTGAGAGTCATCTAAGCTACATGAACTGTTGTCTTGCTGCCACAAACTGAGAGTCATCTAAGCTACATGAACTGTTGTCTTGCTGCCACACACTGAGTGTCATCTAAGCTAAATGAACTGTTTTCTTGCTGCCACACACTGAGAGTCATCTAAGCTACATGAACTGTTGTCTCGCTGCCACACACTGAGAGTCATCTAAGCTAAATGAACTGTTGTCTTGCTGCCACACACTGAGAGTCATCTAAGCTACATGAACTGCTGTCTCGCTGCCACACACTGAGTGTCATCTAAGCTACATGAACTGTTGTCTCGCTGCCACACACTGAGTGTCATCTAAGCTACATGAACTGTTGTCTCGCTGCCACACACTGAGTCATCTAAGCTACATGAACTGTTGTCTCGCTGCCACACACTGAGAGTCATCTAAGCTACATGAACTGTTGTCTTGCTGCCACACACTGAGTGTCATCTAAGCTACATGAACTGTTGTCTCGCTGCCACACACTGAGAGTCATCTAAGCTAAATGAACTGTTGTCTCATTGTCACAAACTGAGAGTCATCTAAGCTACATGAACTGTTGTCTTGCTGCCACACACTGAGTGTCATCTAAGCTAAATGAACTGTTTTCTTGCTGCCACATACTGAGAGTCATCTAAGCTTCATGAACTGTTGTCTCGCTGCCACACACTGAGAGTCATCTAAGCTAAATGAACTGTTGTCTTGCTGCCACACACTGAGAGTCATCTAAGCTAAATGAACTGTTGTCTTGCTGCCACACACTGAGTGTCATCTAAGCTAAATGAACTGTTTTCTTGCTGCCACACACTGAGAGTCATCTAAGCTTCATGAACTGTTGTCTCGCTGCCACACACTGAGAGTCATCTAAGCTAAATGAACTGTTGTCTTGCTGCCACACACTGAGAGTCATCTAAGCTAAATGAACTGTTGTCTTGCTGCCACACACTGAGAGTCATCTAAGCTAAATGAACTGTTGTCTTGCTGCCACACACTGAGAGTCATCTAAGCTACATGAACTGTTGTCTCGCTGCCACACACTGAGAGTCATCTAAGCTACATGAACTGTTGTCTTGCTGCCACACACTGAGAGTCATCTAAGCTAAATGAACTGTTGTCTTGCTGCCACACACTGAGAGTCATCTAAGCTACATGAACTGTTGTCTCGCTGCCACACACTGAGTCATCTAAGCTAAATGAACTGTTGTCTCGCTGCCACACACTGAGAGTCATCTAAGCTACATGAACTGTTGTCTTGCTGCCACACACTGAGAGTCATCTAAGCTACATGAACTGTTGTCTCGCTGCCACAAACTGAGAGTGATCTAAGCTACATGAACTGTTGTTTTGCTGCCACACACTGAGTGTCATCTAAGCTAAATGAACTGTTTTCTTGCTGCCACACACTGAGAGTCATCTAAGCTACATGAACTGTTGTCTCGCTGCCACACACTGAGAGTCATCTAAGCTAAATGAACTGTTGTCTTGCTGCCACACACTGAGAGTCATCTAAGCTACATGAACTGCTGTCTCGCTGCCACACACTGAGTGTCATCTAAGCTACATGAACTGTTGTCTCGCTGCCACACACTGAGTGTCATCTAAGCTACATGAACTGTTGTCTCGCTGCCACACACTGAGTCATCTAAGCTACATGAACTGTTGTCTCGCTGCCACACACTGAGAGTCATCTAAGCTACATGAACTGTTGTCTTGCTGCCACACACTGAGAGTCATCTAAGCTACATGAACTGTTGTCTCGCTGCCACACACTGAGTGTCATCTAAGCTACATGAACTGTTGTCTCGCTGCCACACACTGAGTGTCATCTAAGCTACATGAACTGTTGTCTCGCTGCCACACACTGAGAGTCATCTAAGCTAAATGAACTGTTGTCTCATTGTCACAAACTGAGAGTCATCTAAGCTACATGAACTGTTGTCTTGCTGCCACACACTGAGTGTCATCTAAGCTAAATGAACTGTTTTCTTGCTGCCACACACTGAGAGTCATCTAAGCTACATGAACTGTTGTCTCGCTGCCACACACTGAGAGTCATCTAAGCTAAATGAACTGTTGTCTTGCTGCCACACACTGAGAGTCATCTAAGCTAAATGAACTGTTGTCTTGCTGCCACACACTGAGAGTCATCTAAGCTAAATGAACTGTTGTCTCGCTGCCACACACTGAGAGTCATCTAAGCTACATGAACTGTTGTCTTGCTGCCACACACTGAGAGTCATCTAAGCTAAATGAACTGTTGTCTTGCTGCCACACACTGAGAGTCATCTAAGCTACATGAACTGTTGTCTCGCTGCCACACACTGAGTGTCATCTAAGCTAAATGAACTGTTGTCTTGCTGCCACACACTGAGAGTCATCTAAGCTAAATGAACTGTTGTCTTGCTGCCACACACTGAGTGTCATCTAAGCCACATGAACCGTTGTCTCGTTGCCACAAACTGAGTGCCATCTAAGCTACATGAACTTTTGTCTCGTCTTCACAAACTGAGTGCCATCTAAGCCACATGAACCTTTGTCTCGTTGCCACACACTGAGTGCCATCTAAGCTACATGAACCGTTGTCTCGCTGCCACAAACTGAGTGCCATCTAAGCTACATGAACTTTTGTCTCGTTGTCACAAACTGAGTGCCATCTAAGCCACATGAACCTTTGTCTCGTTGCCACAAACTGAGTGCCATCTAAGCCACATGAACCGTTGTCTCGTTGTCACACACTGAGAGTCATCTAAGCTAAATGAACTGTTGTCTCGCTGCCACACACTGAGAGTCATCTAAGCTACATGAACCGTTGTCTCGCTGCCACACACAGAGTGCCATAAAATCTGAATAAACCGTTGTCCCACCATCTCAAACTGAGTGTTTTCTAAAGTGCATCAGCCGTTGTCTCGCTGTCTCACAACGAGTGTCATCTAAACTGCATGCAATGCGTCGCTTCTATGGGCGCTGACTCATTGTCTAGGCTATGATGCGTCTAGTGAATGCTCTTAGCACACATTCTACGATAACATAACTGAGACAAGCCGACGCCGACTTAGCAGTACGAGAAATCAGTTTATTGACATCTTATCACTTACATAAACGTCCTGTCCGTGTCCTAATACACAGCTTGCATACACCATATTACTTAGACTCCGACATGCCGGCTCCTCACACAGTCACTGACCAGAGTTCGCACAGATGAATCTGGGTATTCTCCTCGTCATCACACAGACTGGCCTGACAGGTCTTGGCTTCAATGGACGTTGTCGTCTGCTCTTCCTCTCACAGTGATCAGTCTCACGTTGTCATTCTCTCGATCACTCTCCCATCCTTTAACTCCGATTGTCAACACATACTATCTCAAACTAACTGGGGTCTGGGTTATACCCAGCGTTTGTTCCACGTGGTAGCTGTCATCGGGTTCCACGTGATAACTCGTGGTCATCACCCATCTCGAAAACCTCGGTTAATCCGAGTATCTGGCTTCTCTCGGTATTCTTGTTAACCTTGGACTTCCCCCCCCCCCCCCAAATTTCCTAATCAGGGTGAAAATATCCCCCATTAGACTGCATTATCATTGTCTCACTGTCTCACTTTAAGTTTCATCTAAGCTTCATGAACCGTTGTCTCACTGTCTCACTTTGAGTGTCATCTAAGCTTCATGAACCGTTGTCTCACTGTCTCACTTTAAGTGTCATCTAAGCTTCATGAACCGTTGTCTCACTGTCTCACTTTGAGTGTCATCTAAGTTTCATGAACCGTTGTCTCACTGTCTCACTTTAAGTGTCATCTAAGTTTCATGAACCGTTGTCTCACTGTCTCACTGAGAGTGTCATCTAAGCTTCATGAACCGTTGTCTCACTGTCTCACTGAGAGTGTCATTTAAGCTTCATGAACCGTTGTCTCACTGTCTCACTGAGAGTGTCATCTAAGTTTCATGAACCGTTGTCTCACTGTCTCACTGAGAGTGTCATCTAAGTTTCATGAACCGTTGTCTCACTGTCTCACTGAGAGTGTCATCTAAGCTTCATGAACCGTTGTCTCACTGTCTCACTGAGAGTGTCATCTAAGCTTCATGAACCGTTGTCTAACTGTCTCACTTTAAGTGTCATCTAAGCTTCATGAACCGTTGTCTAACTGTCTCACTTTAAGTGTCATCTAAGCTTCATGAACCGTTGTCTAACTGTCTCACTGAGAGCCATCTAATCTGCATAAACTGTAGACTCGCTGCCACACATTGAGTGTCATCTAGTCTGCATAAACTGTAGTCTCGCTGCCACACATTGAGTGTCATCTAGTCTGCATAAACTGTAGACTCGCTGCCACACATTGAGTGTCATCTAGTCTGCATAAACTGTAGACTCGCTGCCACACATTGAGTGTCATCTAGTCTGCATAAACTGTAGTCTCGCTGCCACACATAGAGTGTCATTTAATCTGAATGAACCGTAGTCTCATCCTTACGCACCGAGTGTCATATGGGCTACATAAACTATGTGTGTGTTTGTGTGGGTTTATATCTGTGTGCGTCG